CTCCCCCCAGTTTAGTATCATCAGCAAACTTGCTGAGGGTGCCTTCCTCCAGGTCATTGATGAATACATTGAACAGGACTGGACTCAGGACTGAGCCCTGGGGGACACCGCTAGCTACAGGCCTCCAGCTAGACTCTGCACCACTGACCACAACCCTCTGAACTCTGCCATCTAGCCAGTTCTCAATCCACCTCACCGTCCACTCATCTAGCCCGCGCTTCCTGAGTTCACCTGGGAGGATGTGATGGGAGAGAGTGTCCAAAGCCTTGCTGAAGTCCAGGTGGACAGCATCCACTGCTCTGCCCTCATCTACCCAGCCAGTCGTCCCATCCTAGAAGGCTCTCAGATTGGTCAAGCATGATTTCCCTTTGGTGAATCCATGCTGACTACTCCTGATCACCTTCTGGTCCTCCAGATGCTTAGTGATGACCTCGAGGAGGAGCTGTTCCATCACCTTTCCAGGCATGGAGGGGAGGCTGACAGGCCTGTAGTTTCCTGGCTCCTCCTTCTTGCCCTTTGTGAAGACTGGGGTGACATTGGCTTTCTTCCGGTCCTCAGGCACCTCTCCTGATCTCCAGGACCTTTCAAAGATGATGGAGAGTGGCCTAGCGATAACATCCGCCAGCTCCCTCAGCACTCGTGGGTGTATCCCGTCAGGGCCCGTGGATTTGTGGATGTCAAGTTTGGACAAAAGATCTCTAACCTGGTCTTTAGCTTACGTGTAAAGCTTCCTTGAAGAAAATAACTTTTTCATGTCCCAATAACCTCTTATGCAGGTGCACTTTATACTAGTTGCTCTTGTGTTGTGTTCCTCATGTGCTCACAGTATTTTGGGACTCCTAAGCTGCAGAGATGTAATCCTGAACACTGGCACTGTGTTTCGGGTGGAAGGCTATGGAAGTGACTTAAGCATATATTGGATCAGAATGGCATATTGACATAACAAAGATGAACTATCAGTAAAAGTGAAAGCTTCTCTTTCTATCCCATGCTGCCAAGCAGTGTGATTTGTAAGAGCTGTTGTATTCAATGCTTAGTGCAGCTTAAGCCTGTGAGGTGGATTTGCAGTGTGGCATTCTTTCTTGAATTCTTGATAGCGTTTCTAGAATACAAACACTATGCATCATACCGTAGAATGAGAGCATCTACAGCTTTTAGATTTGCGTAGGCTTTGTTCAAGCCCATCGTGGGGTTAAATGAAGCTGATACATGTATTCTCTGGGGCATTGCGGGATGACTGTGATGCTTACCTAGGTAACCAACGTGGGCATGGAACATCAGGGGACATACTGGTGTCATGTATTCAATGACCAGGAAGATCAAGACAGCAAGAAGATAGAAGTTGTTGTAGGTAAGGGGTCTTTCAGTTTGACATAGGGAAGAAATTGATAAATCAACTGACCTATCGTTAGAATTTATTTTTGAAGCTTTCAGTCTTACGCCAAGCACATAACTTTCTGTATTTTTAGTTTATCCATTTGTTAAAATAACTATCCTTGCTGGCATCAAAGGAAAGTTTAGAGCCTTATCAGTTATAAAGTGCTTTGGATTTTCATGGTGGCCTGCATAGACATGCTACCACTTTTTGACAATGCTAGTATATATATGGCTTGTCAGCAGATGGTGGGCTGATTGCTTTATCTTCGTGCTTTCTTTGACAACAGTTTAACTTTTGAGGTTTCATTAAGATCTTGTTAGTGATACCAACTGTGTTATATTGTTTGAGTCCTTTTGCAACCAGGGCAGGTGAGATTATCCACAGAAAGTAGAACAAAGAGGTATAACAGGGTTTAGTGGATCTGCCTAGGTTTACAGTAATCTTAGGAGGGGGAGCTCTGTTTGTGTAGCTTCCAGATACATTTGGGAATACTATCACCTAATCCATGTGAAAAGTTGTTTCCTCTCATGAGAAATATGCTAGTTTGGTATTCCTCAGTTTTGGCAATAGTTGCCTTGCAATAATGCAGTCACTGCTGACGGACTTATACTGCTATAAAATGAACCAGATTGCGGAGAAGCTTGGCAGTGACCTTTGTCTTCTGCTTTGTGCTAACTCTTATAACTGAAAGCATGAATTGTCTTCCAATTTTTTCCCCCTTTAAAACACAAGGAAGGAAAGCTATGGCAGTGGAGTGCACAGAAGGTAAAATAAACTTTTAAGTTGTGAATCAATTTTCAAAAATTAATGATGGGGCTGATAGTTTGTGTTGCTGAGAAGCATGAGTGGGTTAAGGGTTTCGCTGTGCTTTAAAACACTGACGTGTGGTGTATTGTTACTTCTGCATGTACTTCTCCCTTCTTTGCCTTGATACCGTGATCTAGAGCACATGAAAAAAGCCAAACTGCTTTCTTCATCCTCAGTATTAAAAGTGATTTGATTTTTTGCATCGTTTGCATGTCCTGCACTTACAGATTCTAGTGAAATATGAAGATCTTGATTCCTTCAGCTGGACTTAGGAGGCAACATCCTTGCAAGAAAGCTGGAGTTGTTTAGGGACCTGGGTGACCTTAGAGAACTGGGTAGAGGTAGTTCAAGTGATTCTGTCAGCTCTGTGCCTGTAAGAGAGTGTTTCCAGCAACCTTATTAAGACGATTTTCATCCTCTTTTTCGTTACTTCAGTGTGAGTGGAAGACATACTGTGACCTTAACGTTGATACCATCCCTTGATTACTGAGCATCTCCAAGTATGTAAAATTTACTACTAGAAGGAGACCATATATGAAGATGTACAGCTGCTTTATTTTATTTTATTTTTTTGTTCCCTGACCTTAGCTACCAGCAAAGGAAAAACAAATGTATTCCCAGGGTACAATAAATGGTTCCCTACCCTGTTTGTTTTGGAGTTAAGCTAAGCTGCTCTGCAGCATTTCTTGTTCAAAGTTGGACAAGAGCCGTTTTGTTAAAGGTTTGGCATTGTGAGGGGGTCATGACCTGTGACTCCCTGGAAGGTGCAAGTACTAAGCATTTGCAGTGTCAGCCTCACTTCCACAGAACAGCTTCTGAGACTGATTGTCTCTTTGAGCCTTTCACATCCGTTTCTGCTTGGGGTGTGTCTACATTGCATACAGAAGCCTCCTAGTTTTCTGTAACTCGAGTAGCCTTTGAAGTGGAAGATAATCACTGTATTGTCTGTATGCACTCAAGTGAACTGTAGTTTGGGTGCAAACACCATTTTTCCGCTAAGCTACATCAGAACCCACACTGGTATGAGTTTAGGTCGCCATAGTTTCCCATGTGGATGTATGAGTCTGCTTTGATAAATCAACTGACCTATCTGATCTGGCTTGAGATATCTGCCTCGTGTTCCATTGCCTGGAACAAGCCTGCTCTAGGAGATCTCCGGTGCTTCGAATAAATGATTTTTCTCTTTCCATAGTTTCCAGTGTTCTCAAAAGAAATAGGTGAAACTTTCGGTAGTTTGGAATGTTTGAAAATAAAATCAGAAGTCACTCTGAATATGTGCAGGTTTATGAAGCAAGCTTTCTTGCTCAGGATGTTGCCTTTTTAGCAGTCCTTAGGAAATCTGTCATTCACGTGGGTGATTGTGCTCTTTTTCCCTATTTGTTCAAGCTGCTTGCATGCCTGTGGGACTTAGGGTAGTATATGTTTTCCCTTTGTATTTGATTGTTTTGAGATCTATTGTCTTGTAATGCTGCGTCTCGCATAACTTAGTATTTTGATGTAGGATTTTCTCTTCTGCACCTCTGGAAGAAACGCATGAAAGGTTAGATTTACAGAAATTTAAAGATAACTTTTGGCATATTTTAGAAAGATATTTTATTTTCTAGTTTTGGGCTTCAACTCATATGGCCTGATACTTCTATTAATAAAAAGTTATTATTCGTTTCTTTGATAAACTATGATCTTATTGGTATATTTCTTCACAGAAGATCTAAGTGGTCTTCAAAAACCTGGTAAGTGATACATTTTGAAAAACTTTAACTTCAGATCTTCATTTCACAATACAAATCACTTAAGGCTGAGTGGGTTGGAGTACGTAACTTATTTGGATGTATTCATAGCTGGAGATTTAATAGGGGTATATATCATGTAATGGGCAGTGCAGCTTACTTGGTTCCAATAAATTAAGTTAAAGATCCAGAGTGAACCATAGGGTGGCTATTCTCTTTGCAAAATCACATAAAAGCTTCTTTTTTTTATACTATATGCCTATCTCTTGCTTTCTTTATCTGTGGCTTACTTGCACTCTTAGGTTTGAGTATTTTGCTGCTCTTTCCGATGGCTGTCTGCAGACAGAAGGGAGCCTTACTCATGTAAAGTGTCTGGGTGTCACCCATGAAATGTTGAGTTGGTACATTTTGTAAATTCAAATTGGAGCTGAACATCTGAAACCAAGTGTTTCAGATGTTACTGAATATGCTGATGTGCAGTTTGTAAGACTCAAAATTACACCATAAGCATCCGTTATTTCTTAACTTCTAAATAGTGTTATTCATATGCTACGAGGCTGTGTTAACTGAAAGAGAGAGAAGGAAATTAGGTAAATAACAACAAAAGCCAAGCACTTTTATTTTTATTTAAAGCTAGGAAGGAAACAATTTACTAAGCAAAGTAGCACGGATGGACTGTTGCTTTATGGAACATGCAGTTCACTTTCTTATGTTAACAACTGTGATTGCTATTACTGATCATCTATTCTTTTAATTTATTTCAAGCAGACCTACAAGAACAGTCACATGACAGACCTTTTGGTGAGTAGTTCTGTAACTGATGAACATATGTATATCTTATCTGGGAAATAGATCTCGGTCTGAATGTGGCTTCTGCCAATGCTAGTGGAATAACTCTGCAGTGCTTGTAAATAGATGCAGGAGGTAGACTTGTGTGTATTTTTATAGTCCTTTATAAAACTTGGTTGCCCTTTCACTAGGAAACTTGGGCAAGAACACCAGTATTTTAATGACTCGGTGGAATGTGTGTAACTTCTTACCTCTTCCAGTTTACAATTTCAAATTCTTCTGACTGTGACCTTAACAAGTATGTTACCCCATTACTTTTGAGTACTTTGATAGTTGGAGATAGTGGTGCTAGGATGATTTCAAAAAAAAAAAAAAAAAAAAAGTGGTAGGCTCTCTGCTAAGAGAGTATGCTATGCCTGCAAGCCTAGCGTAGTGCAGATGCTTTGATCCTGAGCTGCAGCTGGACTAACCACCAAGGTGGATGGATACTGTACGTATGTTGTGAAGAATAGCCTGTGGTCAGGTGCATTGTCCTGACTGAGCTGGACCAGGTGGAAAGGCTGCTTGCCTCTTCCAAAATGTTAACCCCTCCCAGGTCTGCCAGTATGAGTGAGTGTAAGTGCTTCCCTTAGTGACTTACTGACAGATTAGCTGGTCTGAGAACCTCTGGGTTCCTCCCAGTTCCAATATGTTGACTGTCAGAACGTGCTGCAATGTTTCTTTGCTTTCTTGGATGAGAAGTGAGTTGAGTTCTAGAGTTGATATAAGATGACTTTAGAAAATTGTGTAAAATATTGAGATTTAGTACTATTTTAGCTTTAGAAGAAATTAAATTTAAAGGTATTGAACCCTAGAAATAAAGAAATGTGCTGTGGCTTTGTTTTTCCTTTGTCTTTGCAGCAACAGATAAGGTAGCTCTCTTGATAGGAAATATGAGCTACTGGAATCACCCCCAACTCAAGGCTCCCATGGTAGATGTCTATGAACTGACCAATTTGCTAAGACAACTGGATTTCAAAGTTGTTTCTTTGCTGGATCTTACTGAGTCTGAGATGCGAAATGCGGTGAATGAATTTTTACTTCTCCTGGACAAAGGAGTATATGGTAAGAACATGTGGTTATTCCTAGTGGAGTGGGTAGATTTTGTGATGTATCAAGTACACAAACATCGGATGTTTACCTCTGTCAGGTCACTGTCACGTAATACTAAAGCAAACTTCAGTGTAATAGTATGTATGTAGAACGGGAAAGGTAAGTTAGAAACACCTACCAGCATATCCTTTGACTTTGACTAAAAAGGTTATTGTTGCTTTATTATTGGAACAGATAAAATCTTTGAACTCTTGTCTTTAACCACACCTAAATGTTTAGTCCTTGGCTTTTCACTGCAGAGTACTTCTGTGTTTGATGGTGCTAGTGTGTTTATCTGCTAAAAGCTGATGCATCTGTATAGCAGCATGCTGTGCAGAAGTTGCATGTTTATACTAGGAGGTCATTAGTAACAACTTGTACTAATCATTTAAGTAAAAGCACAAACAGTCCGTTATGTCTGTATCTGTGTATTATGGGAAAGAGCTAGTAGCAGAATAGCAAAAAAAAGCATACAAACTAAATCACACTATTTCAAAAGCTGCTCTAAGAAGAAGATATTACTTGCAACAGATTAAAGATTTGATCAGTTAATTGGTTACAAATCTCAGTTGTAGTTAATTGTAAGAGAGCTCTTTGAGCCATGAGTGTGTTAAGTGCGCTATATATTTCAGCTGCTTTACAACTTGTATATACTCTTTCCTTTGATATATGCAAAGATAGAAATACATTTTGTTCTCCCTTCTTCAAAATTTATAAAGAAAATTAGACTATTTTTCCCTGAAATCCTTTCCCCGCACACTTATTTATATGGAAAATACTTGTTTCTACTACTTCATGTCAAGGATTTCCCTGCAATATCAAACCTGAACCTTTTTCTAGGTTTTAATTGTGCAATAAGCATCAAGCCCAATTTTTAGGGGTTACTGAGACACAGGATTGACCCTGGGTCCAGAGACTGCAAAATCAGAACTGAACTGTCTGGGTACGTCTCACTCACAAATGATGGATGAAACGGCTTACTAAAACAGTCTGCTGAAGAGTGAAAAGAAAAGGACTACTAGGAGATTAACAGGCACTAAACGATTTCTTTCTCAAGGTACAGCAGAAATTGGAATTGAGTCTTCTCCGATTTCCTTGTGGGGCAGCTGCTGTGGGAAGTGTGA